TAACAGGGGGGCCAACGGGCAACCCTGTTTCAAGGATCTAGTTAGGGAGAAGGGGGCAAAGATGTGTCCATTCACCGAAACTGATGTCGTGGAGAATGCATACAATACTATCACCCATCTGCAGAAATTTGGACTAAACTGAATCACTTTCAAAGTCGTCATCACATAGGGCCAATTTACCCTATCGTAGGCTTTTTCTAAATCTAGGAGTAGCACCGCTGTATCAAGATTTTCGTGATGCACCCACTCCAATGCCTCGATATCTGTCAAGATGTTGTCAAATATTGACTGACCCTGTACAAAGGCAGCCTGATCGCGTCCTATGAGTTCAGGTAAGTATCTACCTAGTCTATTTGCTAATAGCTTAGCTAACAATTTATATGATACATTCAGCAATGAGATGGGTCTCCAATTCCGGATTTCCGCCTTGTCTCCTTTCTTGTAAATGATAGAGGTGATGCCATGGGTCATACCTTTCGACAACTGGCAGCTAATAAGAACCTCATTGTAGATTTCTACCAGATGAGGAAACAATATTTTACCGCGGAGAAGGAAGAATTCCACTGGCAGTCCATACATGCCAGGGGATTTACCTTTGGCCATGCAGTTTACTGTTGCTTCCAGTTCTTCTATTGTAACAGGTCGGTCTAGGTCCAGCCTTCCGGTTGGACCTAGTCTGACTGTGAGATTATGCCAGTGGACTGAGTTTTTTGAGAGATTGGTCTCAGGTGATTCTCCAACTCTACAAGATCTGCTTCTTCCTTATTGCCTTTTGCTACCATAATCCATGAAAAAACATTTAAACCACCAGTACTTGGGCCATACATCGGCCGCGGGCCTTCCCTGTTAACGCGCCGCAGCCTTAGGGGGTCGGCCAAGGAAAGGTCCGGTCGTTGCTGAATGGCCGGGCCCCGATTCATTCGGCATGACACAAAAGAAAAAGAACAAAGAAAGAAAAAACAAAAATCAAATACACAAAAATGAAAAAAGAAAGAAAACCAAAGAAAAAAAACTAAATCATGCGCGCGCGCGCGCGAGAGAGAGAGAGAGAGAGAGAGAGAGGCGGCGACCTTGATTATTGCCTTTTGGGCATGTCTATACGACTCTATAGTAACCGTTTTTTTTCTTCTTTTTTCCATATGTTTTAGAGTAAATCCCATTTCTTCTTTTTTTTCGTTTTTTTCTTTTCAAATCCCGTTTTCTGTCATTGCTTTCTGCTTTTTTTTTTTTTTTTNTTTTTTTTTTTTTTTTTTTTTTTTTTTTTTTTTTTCTTTATTCTGTGTCCTTCTCCAAGCACGTTTGGGAAGTTAGCGCCCGGTAGTTCGAGCCTCGGCAAGGCTCGGCATACCAGTCGGCTGAGGCTCGGACTTGATAGCTCGGCCAAGTACTGGTGGTTTAAGTGGTTAGCGACTATAGCAATTTCTGCATCCCACAATTCTCCTGTGGACTAGAAGTGTTGCTGGGCTTACGCCCATGTGCTGAAGAATTTCTCTACTAAGACCGAAAGACGTGGGTTCTGGAGGTATGGACATTCAAAACGAAAGAAATCAGTATTCTTATCTGCGAGGTCTATTAACTGGAATATCATCTTAACAGGGTAAGGGTCTGACATTGGGTGACAAATCACTTCGATGTTGGTCAAAGCATCCCACCAGGCTGGGCTTCATAGCTCATAATCCAATCTCCTTAGGCATCCTGCTGATTTCCCTTCCGAAGGAAGAACCCAGGTATAACCTAGATCTGTCGGATGAATGATTCTGAAGGCATCACATAGATCTAGCTCCGCCATGTAATCTGTGAGCGCATGCATGTCACAAGAGTCTGCTGAGGTATTTAGTACATCAAATAGGGATACCTTCCAATCACCAGCCACTAGCAGGTTGTTGACGCCCGGGGTGAATGAAATCAGATCTTGAAAGAACTTGTAATGTTCCGCTCTGTCTACCGGGGCATGTACTGTCATCACCGCCCATTCAGACCCGAAGTCAGAGAACTTAATCCAAGCCCATCTTCCCCACAGATCCATTGCGTGATCAAGGATTTGGATGGGGAGATCCCTGTGTAGGAACATGCCCACCCCTCCCCTGGTTCCTATTGGGGGGGACCAGAGTTCGGGACTGCCCCACCAAGAGCCTAACTCTTTGATCTTCTTATCGTCTAGCTTCAATTCTTGAACGCATAATACATGAATTTGTTACAGTGGAGCCAGGATTTCAATCGAGCTCGCTTGCTTCTCTTCGATGTGTCTCCTAGCCCCCTGAGGTTCCAGGAGACTACGTTAAACTTGTCCATTCATTCTTGCATTCTGGGCCCAGGATTGGATGGGGACTGCACCCGTATGTGTGTGTGGTTCGTTGCCCAACTGTTGTCGGGAGGATGGCCGAGCTACTGAGCTTGTGGTTGGGGCCCGTTTCTGGGCCAAGATGTTCTTTAGATAAATGGATTGCAGCATCTTGTTCTTTGGTAGTTTCCCATTCAGTTTGCTCAGAACGCCAGCATCTGAGACATGTTGTATCCATAGATGCTGGAGGGACTCTACATCTTCTTCGATAAAAAAGTGTGAGGGAGATTAGTCTCAGACCTTCCAGAAGGAGAGCATCCAATCTATCTTGCGTTATCAATGCATCCAACACAGGGACACATACTTTGCACCTCCTGTCCGCCTGCTCCTGCTATAGTCTTGGTCAAGCCATATCTTGCACTAACCTCAGTGGAAATCGATCTCTGAAGATGAGTTTGGCCGCTGACATGATTGTTTACAATGTGACTGGTTCTTCCGTCTGTTGGGCCAGGAACATGACCTTCGATTCTCCAGGGCAGTTACTGCTCAGTTAGTACTATGGTTATTACTGAAGGGAGCTGAGTGAGGAGCTCCCATCAGAGAGGTCAGAGATACTTATCCCAGATGTTCTGATAACTATGTAGTATGTACTCAATTGTGTACTCAAGGGACGCTGGACCCGTTTTCCCGCAGGTGAAGCTCCCCACCAATAGATGGAGCGGCTACCAGCAGGCTGCTAGGGAAGGCTGCTCTTATCACCTTCCCTAGCAGATCTCCACAGGCCTTCAAAAAAAAAAAAAAAAAAAGCTCCATTCACCAGAGTAGAGTAGAGATAAGTGGCATTAACCACTTTTCGAGGGCAGTGACTTGTGTTTTGGATGAGGTTATCATCTGCTACGGGAAGTTTTAACACCCGGTTGTGGGACCACTTCTCTCTTTCCTTAGTTAGTTGAGGAGGAGGACTCAGCTTTACTATGAACAGAGGCTCTTGAGTCCTCTCTCATTGGTTGTCCCTCCCTTGGAGGGCCTTCTAAGAGGAGGGGCCGCTCAGAGGAAGAACCAGTCCGTACTATCCTTACCACCTTGAGTGGGGATTGACCCCTCGTGCTTCTTCCAATTCAGGCCACCGATCAGACACACACACTTGGCTGTTTGCAGGTATCTGTCGGGAATAAAGTCCAAGTGGGAATCTGCAATTGTATGGGATCCAGGTCATTGGCCGCGAGTCAATCTGGGCCATCCTATCTGAGAGACCAGAGGCTGGTCAACCGGGGTCAACACTACATGTTGACCCAGGCCTGCTGACTGACATTCAGTCTTGCACTTGCTGCTTGACGCTGGTTTGACGCTGGCTTGACGCTGGCTCTATGCTGGCTGGATGCTAGCTCGACGCTGGCTCTGCGCTGGCTTGACGTTGGACGACAACGCAAGACTGCTACTGCTCTCTGTCTACGGCGCCAGCTGGGTACCTGACTATGCTGACATGACTCTTGCCACACTGTCCACTACATTGATGGGATACTGGCGAGGAGGAGGAGGATCAGGACTCCGAGATTGGTCAAATGTGAGGAAAGCTTACCCGTCTGCTTTTTTGTCGACATTGCGCCTTGCTGATTGTCTTCAGAGGAGACTGCGTCGTGTGCGCCTTGACGAGATCTGTTCATTGTCAGAGCGTGCCAGAGGATACTGACTTCTGATGTGGCGAGTAGGGTTTGCCCGAAGGAGGAGTGGGCTTGTGAGGGAGTTCTATCTGCTGAGCTGATGGGTACTTTCTAAGTTTCTCTTCCACCCTCTGAGTCCAATCAGAATGGGGGGGTCTATCAGGTATATGACGGGGTCTACTCGTGCATGGCTTAGCTCTAGGGTAGGGTAGGGATATAAGTCGCTCCGGTTAGTCTGAGTCCCGCCTAGCCTTGAGTAAGTTAGGGGAAGGACGGTAGGATGTGTCCGTGGGGGCTGGCTTGCCTTGCTTAGGTACTCCTGCTGGGTAGACTCTCGGAATTGGGCCTGTAGAAGATTGTATGAGCCTGGCGTCCGCAGTTCCCGTATGGCAAGGTTCGTCCGCTTCCGCTTCCACTAGGGCTGGGGGGTTGGCCCAGCCTTGGTGCTTGTCACTGCTGTCTGGTCCGAGGTGCCCTCAATACTGGTAGGGTGATGGTCCTGAGTGCTGGTCACACTGAGGTAGGATAGTAGGGACAGGGGGTGCGCTGGGGGTATTAACGTGGGGATGGGTAGGGTAGGTGGCCTATCCTGTCAGAACAACCATTGGCTGCCGCTGCCAGCAATCACTGCGGGTCTGGTCCTTGGCCTCTACAACACCCTGGGCTTCTTTTAAAAAGAGAGAGAGAGAAAAAAAAAGTCTAATTCCCCTCCCATCTGCTTCTTCTCCGGTCACGAGACACTGGACCACTTGATCATATGTACAATTTCAGAGACATTGAAACTTCGCTGAGACATTCTGTACTTCGTTATTGTTGAGCTTTCCACCAGACCGGGTTCATTGCAATGATGATGATTGACATCTATGTTGATAATGATTTCATGGTGACCTTGATGACGATGACACTGATGATGATGATGATGATGATGATGATGTCATTGATACAATCCGCACTGACAAAGCATGTGGTAGTGCACTTGTAAATGCATGCTTGGTCACTTACTGTATGGCATTGCTGTGGCTGGTGAACTGTATTTGCTGTATGTCTGTTGCTCGCAGGATTTGTCTGCTTGCCTTCATCAAGGCAGAGAAACATCAGGCCGCTCGTCCTTCAACATCCGGTCGCATCAGGCATTCCGTGCTAGGAAAAAGGGCGGGAAATTTTGAACCTGTGTGAGCTCAAACTGCTGCAGAAAAGTTAAAAAAAATATGACGTACATGTAACAGTGGGCGAGATGCATTAGTCTTTACTATCACAGAGAATACATCTTCCCATGAGTTGCACGGCATACTACAATCGTCACCCTTCCGCCTATCTCTGCCTGGAAAGTGACTACCAGTAGTATAGCTAGGAGGTGTGGGTGATGAACTGCCGACAGTGCCAAGGCGAAATCCTCCATAAATTTTGCAGTCTAACTGGAACTTAAGTTCTTTCTCGGAGATTGGGCTTTACCGACCCTGAACTTCATTTGGCAAACAACTTTCTTTTCATTTTTTTTAATTTTTTTTTAAGGGGCCCGGGGGGCTTAGGGGGAAGAGATCGTCTCCAGTTCAACAACTTACAGGTGAGAACTTTCTGTCGGCGAAAGGGGGAGGGATACGGTTTTAGGAAATGGCCGCGCTCGGTGTGAAGCCTTCATCGCCGGCTTCGAAGGCGGTCTCCTTTTCGGCGGTTCTTGCGCTTGTCATCCTCTTCACTGCAAAATTCTGTGCTGCTGCTGCTACAAACACAGTGGATGGTGCCCTTGCTCAGCATGGGGATGAACTGCTGCCTCATCAGCAGCACACAGCGCCTATCGTTACAACCGCCAAGTCAGGAAATGCAAGGCGGCTAGTCAGCCGCTCCAGACAAGCTAACGAAGACAGTGGTGATGGAAATGGCAGTGGAAGTTCTCATGAGGAGCATCTTCCCGGCGATGGTACTAACAGCGATCATATGGATAACAACGGCGAACAAACACCCTTCTACGTGTCGAGTGCGAAGTCCGCCATCAGCTGTGCGCGCCTTTTCAGCCTGGTGATGTGCCATTTGGTCGCAGTGCTGCTACTGATTGTTCTTCCAGGAGTCCGAGAGACCGTCCTCTGATCTGTCTGCCACAGGCATTGCAGGCAAACGCATTCGTTGCCCCACATACTTGCTCCATTGGCATGCATATATCGAAGTTCCTCGCCTCAATCGATAGTTACTGTATTCATCGTTTCATAACAGTGGGAGCAGCACAGGCTGTATGGGTTTCTGACCCCTTGGGTGTGAGAGTTCAGCCAAGAACAGTTGCTACACCCATGAATTGTTGAAATACAGACCCCATGTTCAAATCCTGAGCCTCTTAGTAACTAATCTGGCAGGTGTTTTGGCCCATGAATTCTTGAAATACAGACCCCACGATCAAATCCTGAGCCTCTTAGTAACTAATCTGGCAGGCGTTTTGGCCCGCCTACGAGGAGCTGTGTATCGAGTTGCACTTGTCATGCACGGGGAACATCGGCAATGCAGTGCACCACGCTCACACTTTACGACACCAAAACACCAACCTTCCCATGTCTTCCTACAGTAGTCCTCCCACCCTGCTCCCCCCCCCGCCCTTCTCCTGTTCCTTTTTTTTTTTTTTTTCTGTTTTTGTTTTTTGGCCTTTTCCTTTTGTTCTGACTAAGTCTTTGTTGGGATCTTCATTGCTGCTGCCTTTTCCCATCAAGGTTTTTGCGGCTTCAGCAAACCAGTGGCACCCCAGTCAGTATGTCCATACCAAATGGCACTTGCACTTTAGCTGGCTAACAGGGGAATGGTTTTTTTTTTATCCCTTCTTCTTCTTTCTTTTTTCTATCTGTTTTTTGTTAAAAAAACAGCGACGGCCTTGAAAGGAAAACAAAATAGCACTTGCACTTTATAAAAGGGCCTTTACCCGATATAGGCCTCAGGCCTTGTAAAAATAAAGCAGCACGGGCCTTGAAAAAGTAAAGCATTGTGAAAAGGTATCTCGCCAGAGCTCAGAAACGTGAAAGCAGGTCAAAGCTCAAGTTCTCTATCAACAGGCATATCTAAAGCTAAGGCAAAGGGCATTGTCAAAAGACTTACCTGTTCACCAGGAGATGTGTATGTCATGTCTGTTCGGGTAAGGGTGTGTCTGTACGTGCAGGCAGTGTACCTGTTGGTGCAAAATAAAGTGTCTGTTCAAGCAGTAAATGTCTGTTCGTTGAGAGTTGTGCCTGTCCGAAAGTAAAGTCAATAGGCACAGTCCCAGTTCTGGTTCAAGTCCAGGGGTCAGTCCAGATCCAGACTTTCAAATCCAAATTCAGGCCGGGAGGCCTCAGCAGCAGTTGAATTTCATTGGGACTCTACTGGGACACATGCAATGCAGGGTCTGGGACAAGGAAAGAGGCTGAATTGAGCCAATGCAGACCCAGCGAGGAGTAAAAAGGAGGCAGCCAGCCTCATTCCTCGCCAGATCTCCACTGGCTGTATCAGCGTGGAAGTGCTGGAGCACTTGTGCGTTAAGTCAGTAGGAGCAGCGCTGGAGGAAGCAGATGCGCTGAGTGAGGGAAGAGGATTGCATGCTGGAAGTGATGCAGCCATAGCTGCCCAGCAAGTTAGCATTAGTAGTAGTGGGTTAATATGTAGCTACGAGTAGTATTCAGAGTAGATCCTCATGAATGAAGGGTGTGTATGCATCGTAGGAGGAAGGGATTGAGGTTGAGAGTGTTCATTCAAGATTCGGCTATGGAAGATACTTACCTGAGTTGAATGTGGGCTGCAAAGGTGGTGCTGATGAGTGGTGACCACATTGATGACTTGGAGGTTATCTGCAGGAGTAGCGCTGATTCACGGAMAGTCATATTGATGAGTTGATAAGAGACTGGTGTTGCGCTGATGAGCGCTGGACTCAGGGGAACTTTGAAACACTTTGTATTCATAATTCTGATAATATAAGCAGTGAAACTCGGTTCCCTTCTTCTCTACCTTTGTCTATGGTTGATACTATTGATCGCTGCGTGTGAAGATGATGCATGATATGTACACATCTGCGTGAGATGGTCTCCAGGACCCATGCAAAAATTTTGGTATCGCAGCTGATGCTCGCTACTCTCATAGCGCTGGCATGAGTAAGGCCAGCGAGGCATGGTGATGGAGGAGGAGTGAAGGAGGGAGGAAGAGAAGAAGAGTTGATAGTGGGGAAGCAGGCTGAGGAAGAAGAGGCAAGGATTACTTACCTGGAGCGTGCGGAGCGTCGTGGAGYATCATCGGCGGYATCTTCAAGAAGAGAGAAGCACCTCCTTTCCCTAAACCTGCGTGTATGTGTGTGTCCCCTACCTTCTCTCCCTCTGACCCTCTGAAGGTGACTGCTGCTGATCTGGTCAGAGTCGAAGTCTGGATCTGGATTGTCATAGTTGTCAGGTCTGAGTTGTCAGAGTCTGATGGTCCAAGAGTGATGTGTCAGGGACTGGCCATACTAGACTAAGTGGTCCAGTGTTCTGTGAAGTAGGAGTAGCCTTCTTCTCCTACCCCTCTTGATAGGCAGGCTGGGAATAGTCATTAAGGACTAAAGAATCGAAGTGGGAGTGGCTATATGCCACGTCAGATAGCGTGTACCAAGCAGTATACAAGTGATACTGAGCAACGACAGGGCCTGCTAAGCCCGAAAGGAAAGAAAAGAGTGAACGCAGTATATCTGCCTGATTGGATAAGTGAACCATCTGCATCTGACAATCTGCGCTGTACTCCATACCTGCATCAGACAACCAGCCCCGTTAGTATAAAAAAAAAAAAAAAAAGACATCAGAAACACATTGTCGAAGGTTGATCCAGGGAGCCAGACAGCATATCAACACGTAGTTACTGATTTGTTGATTGATTACCGCAGCACCTTCTACAGTTAACAAAAAAAAAAAAAAAGTGTACAAGTACTCCATTGCCACAAGTCAATACTTAGTCAGGTGATTGGGATAGTACCTTGGTGATCCGGTGGAGGACCACCTGTGCCGGCCATTACCATGGATGACTATCCCATCCAG